AAAAATTTTGACATGAATTGAATGTCGGAAATATAATAATGTATTTGCCACGTGTGTTATCCATATATCTTGTGATGATAACTAARATATACATTTCTTCTCGTATTCTTTTGATAAAATATTACACTATATACATATATTATTTTCTCGTAGTGCAAGTATCATAAGAACACAGAATGCATTAAATTGGAATTGCGTGCAGAATTGAAGTGATGGTTAAAAAAAACCCTCATGACTGTATGGGATATTTGATTATGGATGGAGTCATTGGATTGCGTGGAAAGTTGAAGTGATGGTTTAAAAAACCCTCATGATCGTGTGGAGTCTCTCCTTTTGGATGGTGTCATTGGTTTGCGTGGAAAATTGATGTATGAGATTGCATGTAAAATTGTTTTGCTAAGAAAAGGGACAGAAATGTTTAGATAATGCATAAAGTTAAGAGACAAACTAATCCACACATATATTTTAATAATTAGTAAAATTTCGTATAAYAAAATACATATAGATGTACCTTAGTAGTAACTAATATTTGTTAAAATAAATTGATATAATGAGAACATCCTGAATTCATCTATATATACTCGGATTTAATAAAGAAAATTATTTTCCTTTGGTTATGACGTAATACTATTGTACCACACACACCAATACATCCCATTTGTAACTATTTTCATCCAKAATTGGCAATCACTAATCACTAAAAAGAGAAGAGAATATGAAAAGAATTATTCTAAATACAAAATATTATTCTTTTGATTATGATTGYATCACTATTGCATTTCTTTAATTAAATATTTAATAGTGCACGTGGTAGTACACGACACGGCAGCCATCTTGAWTTTTTCCTCAGCAATGTGTTGCCCGCGAAAATTCAAATAATAAGAAATGTTTTTTTATCATTAATCCRTAACCACAAAATTAATTATAATAATAATAATAATACTTTTATTATCTGAAACAATATTTATTTTGCAAGTGTGTTTATGTAATCTTTTAAAAATAATTCATAAATATGTCACTTTTTTTGTTGTTCAGTTAATAAAAGTCGATTACTGTAACATGAATTACTACTACTACATATAATTGTACATGCATCGAAATATTTTGTTATATAATAATTAATTTTTCATGAAATTATACTCTTATGGTCACGTAAGAGAATTGAAATATGTATGTGTATATATAGAGTATATATTAATGATGATGCTGCTGMTGATGATGATGATSTAACATAAAAGACACAGTCGAGGCAAATTCCTTTCTGATTTTACATTTYCTTTGATCYAATTAATCACCCCGTTCATTTATATAAAATTATATGTCGATAMAGTCGACGATGATAAGTCGCAGCACAACASTTTATACAAGAAATCCTTTTTTGTGTATGTGCATGTGTATTATTGTGGGGTGCAAAATAGACATATAAGTGTTTAATATAATAATGTTAGTTGCAGTATTGTTGGATTCTTCTTATCAATCTTGATAAT